AGAATAGAAAATTTTAAAAAATTAATAACATCTATTTGATATTATAATTATACTTCTAGTAAAGAGTTTGACCAAATAATAACTAAATTAAATTATTATTGAAAGAAAAAAGAAGTTTTTCTGTATCTGCTTTTATATCTAAAAATAGCCAAAACAATAACAATTCTGATCTAAAATCTGAACAAGAATCTGAAGCTAAATCTGAATCTGAATTTATAATAATGAGTAGACAAGAACAACAAGAAAGTGAAGAATCATTAGATTCTTATAAACGAATAGTTATATATGAAGATAGATTTGACAGAAGTATTAGAGAAACTATTTCTGTAGAAAAATATGAACAAGAAATTAATCAAGAAAGAAACGAAAGAGAACCCACTTCTGTTAAATTAATAAAACAATTGATTACTGAGTTAGATCAAATACTTAACTATAATACTGATGAATCTAAAGAAGCAAAGATTGTAGATTTTTTTACTTTTAAAGGAGGTGAAAAAGATCTTATTGTTTGGTTTAAAGCTTTTAATAATGCAGCAACTGCAAACAAAATTAGCAAAGAAAAAAGACTAAAAATAGTAGCTAACTATTTAAAAAGAATAGCTTTTACTTGGTTTAATCATTATAAAACAGTATTTACTAGTTAGGATAATTACTCTAATATTAATAATATGTATTGCTTCTTTAAATACTAGTTTGAAAGACAATTTAGAAGCTCATATCGAATTACCCAATAGTATTACTCTTTGAGAAATCAAAAACAAAAACTTGGTGAAACTATTAAATCCTACTTTTCTGTATTAAAAGAGCTATAGTAAAAAGTATAGATTCAAATGAAAGATATCTTGATGAAGATAAAAAAAGACAATTTATAGATAGATTATATACTAAATTCTATATTCTTGTTAAATTAACTATGTCAGAAGATTTACATGATGCTGTTGAAAAAGCTTAAGCTATTAAAGTAGCTTATTCTAAAGGCAATACTCTCTTAGTCTACTCATTATTGCCTGCTTTATACCAATCATACTTCTTTGGTTATACTGCTTCTACTACTGAAGTAGATATTAAAGCTTTAATTGCTATGCAAACTAAAGAATTTTTGACTAAAACTATTAAACAATTAAAACCAGTTAATGGTGATTTGCCAGTCAGCTAGTGAGAGGTCATAGTATAATGTGACGTGGTTTACTTATAGAAATTAGAATTTTGCGAATATGGGCTGCATCATTCTAATTTTTTTTTGTACTAATTTAACTATCTTTGGGCTTCTAATTGAAGTTGTAGAGCTTGTTGAGAGAAATTTAATGGTAGTTGAATTGTCAAAATCGGCCTTATGAATCACGAAATATCTTCAAAAAACATTTCACCAACTATGTAAAATTTTCTTGGTGATACTATTGTCAAAAGAGAGAATTTTACATAGTTGGTAAAATATTTTTTGAAGATATCTTGTGATCTACAAGGCCGATT